CGGGCCCGAGGACGCCACGCGCCGGCGAGCCGCCTGGCGCCGCCGCACCTCACCTTCCTCTGGAAGGTGCCATCCAGCGCCGCCACGATCACTGTCTTCCCGGCGTTGGCCATGGCCTCGCTGAACTCCACGATGTCAGGGAACTGGGGGGGCAGGGGGGGTGAGCACCCACCCTGGAGCAGCTCAACAACCCCAAGCCTGCGGGGGCGGCCCTAGCCCACCCCCCACAATGTCCATGCTGCTCCCCAAAGTCCACAGGTGTGCCCACTGCTGCCCCAGGGCCACCCCACCAGCCGCCCCCCAGCAGAACCGGGACGCCTCGGCACGCCCTGCCCGTCCTGAGACAGGCAGACAGACTGGCCCTCGGGACCGGTCAGCTGTGACCTTGGCTATCACTTCACTCGGGAGCTGGGTCCCCACCTAGGAGAGCAGGAAGGCCTTCGGGCTCAGACCGGTGGCGCCCAGATACCCGGGGACGTGCCACAGGCGCCTCACAGGCGCCTCGGAGTGGGCTGCTCAGCCTCATCTCGGCCAGGCGCGTGGCCCAACTGCGTGGGCTGCGGCTGCCAGGGCGGGCCCCGTCCTTTGGATAAAGCGTCTGTCCCCATGCCCTGCTCGGCCCATTTGCTGAGGGGCGAGTGCTGGGCGGGACCAGGGTGGGGAAGGGTCGGGGTTCCCCAGGGATTCAGCAGGAGCCAGGGCCGGAGTGGGGACCCCGCCGTGACCCGCCAGACCCAGTGAAGAGCCACCAGCAACGCTTGAAGGCGGAGAAGCCGGAGCAAACAGTGAATAGCACGGGACAAAGGCCCATCGCTGCCTGCCCCCCAGAAAAAGGTGCCCCCCCAAATAGGTGGAAGCCCCTTCGATGCAACTTAGAAAAGGAGAAATCAGACGAGGGGCCACAAGACATAGAAGAGGCAGCCGCGGCAGAAACGAGGGGAACAGCAGGGCTGGCCGTGTGGGGGGCGGCGCTCCCCATCCCGGACAGCCGGAGGGCGGGCTCCACACACCTCTGCCCCTGCTGGCCACTCTCCGTCACCCTGGAGTCCTGCAGGCTTCACCCAGCGCTCCACCCCCAAAGGGAGTCCCCCAAGCTGTGAGTCAGGCGCCAGACTTGGGGCGGGTGCCCAACACCGCGCCCTTGCTGCTCACGTGACCTGGCCCCCGACCAGCAGTTCCACCGAGTGGGTGAACCCCAATGCCCTTCCGCGGGTGCCACGGCAGCCACCAACGCCGCACGGGGGCCTCGGTGCTGCCAGCAGGCGCTCACGCGTGCGCAGACCGGCTGGGCGGCCGGGGTCTGGTTGCTTCTCTGGGCCCCGGGGCCCCGAGCACGCACCCGCCTGGTCTCTCCGTGGCCGGTGGGCAGTCAGCGCCCAGACACACCTCAGACCCAGCCACCCGTGACTGCGGGGCTCACCACGGAAGCAAGACCCCTCACGGCGCCGGCCGGAGTCCGCCGCCGGAGCCCGGAGCGCTGGCCCCAGGTGAGGTCAGGGGACTGGCGAGAGCGCCGCCCCTTCCCGAGGGCGGGCCAGGGGCCAGGCGCCCCCGCAGACCCCCCTGCGTGAGCTGGCACACACCCCACCCCGCGAACTGGGTCCCCTGAGCCCTCCCGGCCCCCGAGTGGTCAGTCCTAGCCCTTCTGGCCCTTCTGCCTGGTCATAACACAAGAGCCAACAAAATCATGGTCCGGCCGCCCCAGCCACGCCCACCACAAGCCCACCTTCCTGCCTGAAGCCCCCTCCCGCAAAGCCAGAGACGGGGTGTGCCCGTCCCTGCGCCCTGCGGCTCCCAGGCCAGACAGGGGGAGGGGCGCGGCCGTGAGAGGCGCCTGGGCTGCCGGCACCCAGGGGCAGGAGACCGGACAGCCTGGCCGTGGGAGCGGAGCCCAGAGCCGTGACTGGACAGGGCATGACGGCCCGAGCCACCTGCTCAGGGCGCTGGGGCAGCTGCAGCCTCAGCATACTGAGCGGGGCGCCAGGGACAGGCACCCTGACCCCAGGGACAGCAGCGTCCTGCTGGGCTGGTGGAAGCCCGCCTCGCCCTCAGCCGCACCCCAGCGCCTGGGTCCGGCCACTGTGTGTGGCCTCTGAAGGCAGCTGGGCAGAGGGTGAGCCTGGCGGCAGGCGTTTCTCCTAGGGAAAGCTGGATACTGGGGTGACGGGGTAGAGCAGCTCACGCTCTCCGTTGGCATTTCTTTAGTCAAGACTTCTGCACGTGGGCAACGAAAACCCCCGAAACCCAGCAGGGAGACTCAGCCCACAAGTCAACCCGCAAACTCAAGGGACACGCTTCTGAGGACAGAGGTCGACTCCAGAGGAGACAGAGCGGAAGGAGACCGCGAACGCCAACATGAGCTGTTCAACACGGGCAGACGTGGCTCCCGCAGCTCATGAAAAAGGAATCTGGGGGGCGAACTGGTCACAGCGCAGCACTGTGAAGCTGCCGCAGCCACCGCAGCAGGAGTTCGATCCCCACCCCGGAGGGGGCCCCAGGCCGCGGCAGACCCCTCCTGTCTCCCCGCTGCCCCCTCGGCAGTGGACTTGTCGATCTGCCTGTCCTGCTCCCCGCTCTGTCTCTGGGGAGTCCTCTCCCCCCTGCACCTCTGCCCGGACCCCAGTTCTGTACGCCGAATAAATAAATCTTTAAAAAGAACAACAGCTACCCTCTACTGGCCGCCAGCAGCGCAGCTGCCCTTCCAAGCAGCGCAGAGCCAGGCCCTCGGCCACGTGGACCCGCTCAGAGCACGAGAAAGGCCGCTGCGCACCAAAGCGGGTGCCCCGCCCCACGGCTGTCGCCGAGCTGCTGAAGGATGCACTCCACAGGAAGCCTGGGGCCGTGAGGCGAGGGCAAGACGCACCAAGTCTGTCCCTCACACAGCAGCGTGTGGCCCGGCTCACACCAGCCCACGGCGCCGGCAGTGCTGTCTCCCTTGTCACTGTACCGCTGACATTGTGCAGTTTGCAAAGGGGGGTAGTGAGGGGCTCACAGGGTGACGCCCCGACAAGCCAACTCACAAACTGGCCTTCATCGATGCCTATGACAGCCACTCCCAGGGAATCCTGAGCCACATCCCGGAGCAGGCAGGCCGGCAGCGCGTCCATGGTGCTTCTGGGGAGAGAAGGCTGGGGCGTGAGCGGCGGGCAGCAGCGGGCCGCGACCCCCCGC